TATATGAAATCAGATTTTTTTTTCTATTTCAGCACTGAAACATAATCTAACTTTTTAAAATGTTCATCTCTCATTCATTTGAAGTGTGATTGAGATGATTCTTTTTTTACATGTTATTTAGGTTTTTAGATAATTTTAGACTATGAAAACCCCTGATTCAGTTAAAAATTGAATGAGTAACAAGCTCTGTAATGAAGCATATCAAAGCAAACTTTTTTTTTGTTTCGACACTAAAACGTAATCTGACTTTTTTTTGTTAAAATGTGCATATCTCACTCATTTTAAGTTGTATTGGCCTTATTCTTTTTCCTACATGTTGTTTAGGTTTTGTATCTAATTTTAGACTATAAAAAATCTTGATTTGGTTAAAAATTGAACGACTTACAAAGCTCGCAAGACAACATATCAAATCTGACTTTTCTTGTTTCAGCACCATTTAACAATGTAATATTTATATGTTTTATTTTGAGAATATAGGGTTATGGAGAAGATTCAGAAAAAGTTTATATAGAAGAAACACCAAAAAAATCTGAAACCGTAACGGAAATATTTCTCAAGTATGTGGTTATTTCTCGAGGATCGGTTCCAACATTGAAGACCTAGCAAGAACCGGAACCAGAACTAGTAGAACCGGCGGTCCAGTTTGGTTCATATTTGCCACCAAGTTCGGTTCTCGAGTCTGTTCCGGATGGGCCGGTTCCGATGCTCATCCCTAATCCCAATGGCTCATCCGCCAATCTAAACTCTTCCCGGTAGCTCAACCGCCATCCTAGACCTTCTCCGGTTGCTCAGCCACAACTCTACCACCTATAACCAACATGTCCATACACTACCCCCAACACCAAGATCGTTCTCTCTAGCTTAAGAGAACTATCTCATCTCTACCAACCGATATAACTTGATCGTCGGAGTCTACTCTCGGGGCACAGTCCTTAGGACAGTTCTAACAACTTTGCTCTATAGATCTCCGCCGTAACAGTTGTCCACAAGTCATCCCGGAGAATAAAGTCACATCATTTGGCGCCATCCATGGGACTCGAACCAACGATCACGTGGAAGAGACACTTAGGACCTAAGAGAAGGACATTTTCTCGTTTTTTTTTTTTCCATTTTATTAAATTACATATAATATTTAATTTTAATAAATATAATAATAAATGCATATCAAATTCACTAATGCAATTTTCTTTATAATTTCTAAATTTCTCAATTAAATCTAATTATTTTTAATTGTTTGTTTATTTGAATTATTTGTGTAAATTTAAAAAGAGAAATAAACAAATCAATTTTAATAGTTAAATATATTTTTCGTTTTCCTTTTAAATTCTAACTTTATAAATTTTTGTTCTTCATATATATATATATATATATATATATATATATATATATATATATATATATATATATATATATATATATATATATATAAATAAACTCATATAGTATCTGCATCTCACAACTAATTAATTATGAAATAATAACTACTAAGTTGAAAAATAATAGGACATTAGTTATAAAATAATAACTCTTATAGATGATATATAAAATATAACGACTTCTCACTAGTACATAACATATTTAATAGTACGATATATATATATATATATATATATATATATATATATATATATATATATATATATATATATATATATATATATATATATATATATATAAAGCTAGGTTCTAATGTTTTTTTACAATTATTGTATATATTTATAGACCAATGAGGATTTAACAATAATTTAATTATTAATTTAATTAATAAGGGTAAGTTAGTAATATTACATATATGCATTAATTAATATCCAAAATTAACAATTTATATTACTTTAAATATCGTTGCATCTCAATAACCCTAAGCATTTTCATCGTCTACCTTCCCCAGTTGCCGGGCAAAGTTCTTACCCCTATTTCTCTAAACCCATCACACCCTGCCACAATCGTTCTAGTTCGTGTCAATTTGTTGATTTTAATTGGCAACATACATCTAAATATAACATTATTATGATTCTCTGAGATTTTGCGAAGAGAAATATACAATCACAAGTTTTATTTTAATTTGGGAGGTTATCGATTTCCTTCATAGAAAAAATGGTTGCTGGATATTGCTACATACTTCACCAAAACCAATGTAAGATAAACATTAATTCTTCATATTGTTGACTTTTCTATTTCCTGTTAATGGAGCACAAGTAAAACTAAACATTATTCAATTTATTCAAATGAAATTATGGAATTTATTGTTATATAGTTTACTATTATTTCCAACGTCATTAGTGATTCTATTATTTTTGGGATTTTTTTGTTAACTTTGTTATGATTTTCCATTTTATTTTACAACTTCCCATTATCTTATACATTGTATGAAATATTCGATCATTAATTTTCATTACTATCTTGATGGAGTTGATTATTGTCCGTCAACTATTTGTTAAAATGTTTGAATCAAATATTTCGTACATTCATTTGCACAAGATGTCAATTGATAAGTATTTATACCCATTTGGAAATTATAATATATAGTTTTGTTAATCTGATATGGTGTTGGCTTAATGAGGTCTTTATATTTCTCTATTTTGACTTTGCTTATCGTTAGCTATTCGATAAACATGATGTCTACTGATAACTATTCAAAACCATTCTGTCAGAATTTATTTATATAAATCCATTCTTTCAGAATGTTTGTATTCTAGCAAAATGTATGTTATGTATTCTGCCAAAATTTTTAAAACAAATCTTATCAATAATATTATTTTAGAATATGTTAGTGTTTCTGTTAGATTTTAATGACTTTTTTTTTTCTTTTTAGGTTTTAAATTGTTTGTCATTCATGTGGAAAAAAAAGAAAATTTGGAAAACAAGACTGTCTTATAGTAGAATGTATTCTTCCAGAATGTATAACATGAATCTGAACAACATTATTCGTTTAGAATAGTTTAGTATTTTTTTGGTTGAATTTTGATGTTTTTATTGCATTTGTGATAGGAATGATTTGAAGACCTTATATGAATGATATGAATAATGAATCAAAGATTGATCATACTCACAGTTTAAAAATGTTGTTTTTAAGAATTACACTTGTTATCTTTCATAATGTTGTTATTATTCAAGAATGTTTGTTTTGTATCACAATCATAGAATATAACTATTTGATATATTATTAGTTCAAGAATCGATTTTGTATATTGTTTCGTAATGTACTTATTCATGTTTTCTTTTTATTTATGTATTCTTAAAAGATGCCATAAACTATTACTATAAGAAAATGTCATTCTAACAGAATTGCATTCTGACAGAATAAAATAAGTTATAATCGGTTATGATTACAAATTAAATTAGAATTGAAACTGAATTATTTATTTTATTTTTTTAAAATCAGAACTATCCCATTAAATTCGAAAATTTCCTTTTTTATATATAGTTAATTGTTTAAAATACCCTTTTAATTAAATTTGAGTGATATTATGGTACATGATATTCCATTGTAATATCATAGACCCTCAAAATCATAGTCATTCATTATTTTCATCTATTGGTTCAGAATTCTCCTTACATGCACACAATAGTTACCTAAAACAAAATAACCTAATCATATATATATATATATATATATATATATATATATATATATATATATATATATATATATATATATATAAGTTGATGTGGTGGAAGCTTAAAACTGGGCTATTAAAACATTTTCACAGATAAACTAATTTATTTTCTTCTTATTTTTTTTTTTCTAATTAACATTTGGTTTGTTTAAGGTGGAATTAGCGTGATGGATCAAACATGCGTAGGAGATTATGATACGCAGATGGTTCTCTACAGAGTCATAGGCTCTAGTGACGATGTTCTGGGTGGTTAGTGGTGGAGATGACGGGTTGTATAAGGGTGGTCTGAGGTGGCGAGATGTTTAACTAGAGGTGAAGCAGACTTATGAAGATGTATGAGTTGTTTTCAAGAAGTGAAGATGTTAAGGGTTGTAAAAACAATGGTAATAGGGGATTTAGTGTCTTCTTCGTGGCTGTAATGGCGGTTTCCAGTTAAGGTTGGGCAAATGGCGATGGTGTCAACTACATGTGGTTTATGCTCAATTGTGAAGGTGGTTGATGTAGAGAAGCTCGACAGTGGTTAATGACGGGAAAAATGGTGCGGCTTGGTGATTGTTATGTTCTCGGCAACAAGCAAGCGATCGAGATGATTGTTAGAATAATAAAGATTTTGATCGATATTTTCAAAACAGGAATAGCAATCAAGAACAAAGAATGAAGATCAAAGTTGTGCTGAATGATTTAAAAGAACTGCCTTAGAAGAGCTCGGTTAAGAACTATTACTGTAAAGGCAATGTAGGGTTATAACTTGGACGATTACAAGACATGGTGCATGCATGCACTTTAAATAGCTAAACCCTAATAATAAGTAACTTGGTCGACAGGACCAACCCATTACAAAACATGGACTAAATATTAAATACAATTGACACAATCCTTAAGAATCAACGATCCCCCCCCCCCCCCCCCCCCTTTGTGTCAATTGAGGCAAGAGACCTTCACTCTTGAGTACGCCTCTGAACTTCAAAAAGTTTCGGCAATATGATCAGTAAGATCTTGCGAACCTAAATATACCATTTGATCATATCCGAATAACATTTCTTGTCCCCATCCGTGTTCACTTTGCATTTACCCATAAACTCCAATATGTACTGTTGGCAAGAAGTGGAGTAAAGATGCATGTTAGCAAGGCAGAATGTACGAAACTAACATTCTCTTGAGATGTGCCACAATGGGTTCATATTTTTGTTCATCCTTGAGCAACATATTTAGCAGTAAAATCCAATCGTACAGGTTCAGGCAAGGTATATCAACAAGAGTAAACTCGAACACGTGACTCGTAGCACCTCTAACAACCTTGAAATAAGCATTCAGGAAGCTATCAGTTTCAATAGTCCCTAAAACTTTCACAACTATTTTCTTTTTCAAACTCCAGGTTTCATATTAAGGCTTCATGTGCTTTAAGTAGAAAGAGAAGATCGTATGATCAACACCGTTGTCAAAGAGAGGAATGTTTGCAACTTGGATAAAGCTATGAAACTTGAAGGCTTTCGATGTAATTGGAAGATCTAGTTGTGAATTGTGTGAGTTCTGCAAATCGAAAGATGCAACAGGCTCTAACCAATACTGGCTTGGATTGTCGATTGCCTCATTCATAATATGCTCAAAAGTCCACAAAGGAAATAAAAGCTTTCTGCTTTCCAAAGTGACTTGCGCTTCACGTTCAACTTTCTCTTTTTCTTTTGCCTCCCTTGCGATTCGTTGGTTTTCATCGAGAACTGCATCACATGCTTTTCGCTTAAGTTTCTCAGTTTTGTCTTCTTCTTCTTCATCATTGTCATTGATAAGTTTTTCTTTGCCTTTCAAACCCTAAGCTTCATGATCCTTCAGTTCACTTGATGGTTTTGGCGTTTGTTCAGTTTCAGTAGAAGTTTCGGCTTGTTTCTGGGGTTCTTTTTCAGGTTCCTTTACAGCTTCTCCCCCTTGTTTCAGAAGTGGACCAGACTCCAAAACACCCTCAAACATGTTTAGCATTGAGAACACAAGCCTAAGTTTGTTAGCCAGATGCTACCTGACAGAGACTGTAAGTTGAGAATCACGAGTCTCAATAAGATTAGATAGGAAGACATTCATGTCAACTATGCAGCTTTTCATCACAGGTTTTTTTGGTCATAAGCTCTTTAATCTGTGAATTGGAATGAGCGAGTTGGACAGATAATACCTTTACTTTTGCTATACTGCTTGCGATCGCATCCATTATTTTGCTTTCAGTGGCCAAATTGTAACGACCCGTTTCCGGTATGTTAATTCCTTGGTATTTGTTTTGAAGTTTTGCATGAGGGACTCGGCGAGTTCATAGCCTGACTCGCCGAGTAGGGTTGGGTTTTCGAGCACGTGTTAGCTGGAGACTCGGCGAGTCCATATTCCGGACTCGGCGAGTCTGTCCGTCTGGGTGAAACCCTAAATCCCCGGGTTGCCCACTATTTAAGTCACCTTATGGCCCTCATTCTCGCCTCCTTCACCCTTAGAAGCTGTGAAAAAAACCCTAATTCGTCCTTGAGTGTTTGTGAGTGATTTTTGTGTGCATTTGTGAAGGTTTGAAGAAGGAGAAGAAGAAAGGAGCAAGAAGAAGGATTGTAGAGCAGAGATTCAAGGGAAAGCAAGAGCTCTTTGAGCCGGGGAGATACCGGAGCAGCAGCAGTTAGATTCCAGAGTCTTACACTCAGCAGCCAGTTTACGAGGTACTTCCGCAAGCAAAGGGAAGAGATCGGGGTGATAGCATCGCACACACACAGCTGTAGCTTTTATCCTGGGAATTGATTTAGTTTGTTTTGATTTGACATAGTATGATACAGTTTTCCGTACAGTGTTTTTATTATGTTTGGGATACATCACGGATGGTTTTATGATATGACACTCAGATTATGGTTTTGGTTATATTGAAAAACGAAATTTTTGGGTCGTATTTTTGGGTCGTTTCAGGTTGGTATCAGAGCCATGGTTTGAGGGATTCGGATACACTTCCGGGTGTATCTGAACTCAAACTAAGGGGAAATAAAAAGATTTTTTTTTTAAAAAAGAAAACGTTTTATAAAAAGAAAACGTTTTCTAAAAAGAATTTTGAAAGCACTTAGAAAGAAAGAAATTGGTAACGAGATAGAGGTGTGTGCATGCGATCAGTTGAGCTCAAGTAAGTACTCCCAAATTACCCATACAAGTTCTTTGTTCAGTTTCAGCTTCAGTTGAACATCATGCTAGTATAGGACTAAGGATCTAGGAGAATGCCTTATGTGCCTGCTTTATAAGTTACAGCTTTATGAGTATTGCATGCTAGTATTGAGTAGACAGCAGTAGGGTAGCCTGTTTAGGTTATGCCTGACAGTATGAGCTTAACATCCTATGCTATTACAGTATCTTGTTATGAGAATAGTTTTGCCTGAGTCTGTTTCCCTTATCCGAATGCTGCTTGCTTCGTGCTTTGTGGGGTTCTGAGTGATGAGAGTTAGCCATTAGGTGAACACGTCACACCACATATGATCAGGGTTGAATAATCCCAGAGTGCTGGAACTGGCCCCATTGCGCAGCTCTTGTTTGAGTCCAACCGCTATAGGGACGGGTCTTTTACTTGAAAGATTATCTGATCCTCATCACATGTAATGGTGTTCAGGTGGTGGCTAATTGGCATTATAAGGAAACCTTCAGCAGCTGAGGACCAGTTGTGTTGAGCCTGAGGTTTCCCTAGGGCAAGCCTAGGATGAGAGTAGTAGAGAGCAGCAATAGTAGAAGTGACTTGGTGGAGTCAAGGCAGTTCTTGAGGAAAGTACGGATAGATGTGGAAGGTAGTATGGGCCCGTACTACTGAAAGCAGAGGATCCGTACTCGAATCAAGGAAGGCCAAGACAAGACCAGGAAGCTAGTAGTAGTATCATGATCCCTTGAGATATTTCAGTGTTCTGATGTTGTTATGATATGTTTCAGAATGATAGTTTTGCGTCTGAGACCAGCAGTCGGCAGCTCAGATGCCGGAGGGGGATCAGGATCAGGATCAGGCCCGGAGGTCGGGCAGATGGATGAGCAGACCAGAGAGTTCCTTTCTTCTGAGGTTACCCGCATCATACTGGAGCAGACTCCTGTGATCTTCGGTTCGATCAAGGAGGGTATTTTAGAGCTGATGGATGAGAGATTGGGTATTTTCCATGCCGAGATGGCGGCCATGATGGGATCGCGCACACTTACGTTCAGGGAGTTCAGGGCATGCGGAGCTCCAGACTATCATGGGGCGCGGGACCCCATAGCGAGTACCAGATGGTTGGCGGATGTGGCTAATGCTTTCCGCTCTAGCAGGTGTCCCGAGGGGGACAAGGTCAGATTGGTGTCCTGTTTTCTAAAGGACAGGGCACAGGATTGGTGGGAGGAGGTCGGACATGCCATCGGGGATGATGCGGCATTGGACGCCATGACCTGGGCTGATTTCTCTACCAGGTTCAGGGCAGAGTTTTCACCGGTCATTGAGGTGCAACAGTTAGCTAGGGAGTTTCAGGACCTTACCCAGACTACAGAGACTGTGGCGGAGATCACCGCCAAGTTCAGGGAGAGGGCTCTTCTTGTTCCTCAGTATGCAGCCGATGAAGAGATGAAGAAGGCCCGTTATCATGAGATGTTGCGGAGTGATATCCGCATGTTTGTGAACCGGTCCAGCTGTAAAACGCTGGATGACATGATTGCTAGAGCTCGGGAGAGGGAGATTGATCTCGAGATGGAGAAGAAGAGGAAACCGGAGGCGGTTTCGGGTTCAGGCAGTGCGGGCAAAAAGCCCAAGGTATCTGATCACAGGTCCAGGAGTCAGCAAAGTCATGATCAGTGTGGCAAGTGTGGGAGATTGCACGAGGGAACGTGCAAGGTAGGGAGTTCCGGCTGCTACAAGTGCGGTCGGACTGGACATTTGAGCAGGGATTGTACGGCCCATGCTACTGCTGTTGCAGTATCAGATTTGATTTGCTTTCAGTGCAATCAGAGGGGACATAAAAAGTCCCAGTGTCCAAGTTTAACTACAGCAGGGAAGGTGGTTGCACCTGCCCCTGCTACTTTGAGGATTACAGATGGCCGTCAGGGCCGAGCAGAGACACCAGTGGCTAAGAGCCGAGCTTTTCAGTTGACAGCAAAGGAGGCGCGAGCAACTCCTGATGTGGTGACGGGTATGTATCTTTCCTTCATCTTTTAATTATTATTATCGTTTGAATATTACTTGATGATATGTTTTATTTAGGGTCGTTCTCGGTGAACGGCATTTCTGCTTTGGTATTGTTCGATTCGGGGGCTACCCGATCATTCGTATCGCTTGCGCTTAGCAAGAGATTTAGTAGAGCTCCTGGGGAGCTGGATTGTACATTAGAGGTTGAGATAGCAGATGATAGGACCGTGAGGGTCGGCAGAGTACATAGAGGGTGTTCCCTTCAGATATTTGATGAGCAGTTTTCAGTGGATCTGGTACCTATTCCCATACGAGGGAATAAAGTTATTGTGGGCATGGATTGGCTAAGCCCCAATGGGGCGGTGATTGATTGTGAGCTTCAGCTAGTGAGGGTTCGCACTCCCAGTGGGGGAGAGTTAGTGATTCAGAGCGAGAGGCCACAGCGAGGACCGACCTTTTGTTCCGCCGCAAGGGCGAGACACTATGTTCGGCAGGGTTCCCGCCGGTTTTGTAGCTTACGTCTTGGATGCCCGGGAGAAGGGCAAGATAACAGTTGATGATGTTCCTATTGTTCAAGACTACCAGGATGTGTTTCCTGAGGATTTGCCGGGGATACCTCCTGAGAGACAGGTTGAGTTCAGGATCGACCTAATTCCTGGTGCGGCTCCGATAGCCAAAGCACCGTATCGACTAGCTCCCCCTGAGATGCAGGAGTTGTCTACACGGCTACAGGAGCTGTTAGACAAGGGTTTCATTCGGCCGAGCAGTTCGCCTTGGGGAGCGCCGATCCTGTTTGTGAGGAAGAAGGATGGGTCGCATCGTATGTGTATTGATTACCTGGAGTTGAATAAGGTAACGGTGAAGAATCGTTACCCACTTCCGAGGATAGATGATTTGTTTGATCAGCTTCAGGGAGCGTCTTGGTTCTCCAAGATCGATCTACGCTCCAGTTATCATCAGATGCGGGTTAGAGATGAGGATGTACAGAAGACTGCTTTCAGGACCCGGTATGGTCATTATGAGTTCGTGGTGATGCCATTTGGGCTCACCAATGCCCCAGCCACGTTCATGGACCTCATGAACCGCGTGTGCAGGCCGATGCTGGATCGGTCAGTGATAGTATTCATAGATGATATCTTGGTATATTCCAAGACACAGGGGCAGCACGAGGAACACCTTCGGGAGGTGCTGGAGGTTTTGAGGAGGGAGAGACTTTTCGCAAAGTTCTCTAAGTGTGAGTTTTGGTTGCGCGAGGTGCAGTTTCTTGGTCACCTCGTCAACCAGAAGGGTATTTTGGTAGATCCGGCCAAGATAGAGGCCGTGATGCAGTGGGAGGTCCCGAAGTCTCCATCTGAGATTCGGAGCTTCATAGGGTTGGCAGGGTATTATCGGAGATTTATTCAGGACTTCTCCAAGATAGCAGTGCCGCTCACCCGACTAACCAAGAAGTCGGTGATATTTCGTTGGGGGCCTGAGCAGCAGGCGGCGTTCGAGACTCTCAGACAGAAATTGTGCGAGGCTCCAATCCTTACCTTGCCAGAGGGAGTAGAGGACTTCGTAGTCTATTATGATGCTTCGATCACAGGTATGGGGGCAGTATTGATGCACTGAGGCCATGTGGTAGCTTATGCCTCGAGACAGTTGAAGCCTCACGAGGCTAATTATCCTACCCACGATTTGGAGCTGGGGGCAGTTGTGTTTGCCCTCAAGATTTGGAGGCATTACCTTTATGGGCCCCGTTGTACTATTTACACGGATCACAAGAGTTTGCGGTATCTTATGGATCAGCCAAGTCTGAACATGAGGCAGAGGAGGTGGTTGGACGTGCTGAAGGATTATGATT